AATTCATATATTTGTTACTTAAATTCATCATTAATAGCAGTTCGAACTTGCTTAGATTTTGACATATTCTCGAAATTCTGTCTTTTTTTTTTTTTTTTTTTTTTTTTTTTTTTTTTAACAAATAAGCTATATTTATAGCAGAATCATGTAGTAACTTTATTAGTTTAATCAGGTTTAACTTATTTTATTAGCGCATATATGAATTATTAACAAAAAGTTAAAAGCTTTAACGTTAACGCATGAATAATAAAAAAAAGCTTAATATTAATAATTTATACTGATACAACTTCTAAATTAATAATACTATAAGAGAATTGCAACAGATAAGAAATGTTTTATTATTGTACTAACTCTTTTTGGTAGTTAATTTAAATAAAGCTTATCGTTATGATAAAGCTTATCATTATAGCTATACATGATATCTAAATTTTAAAACATACGTATAAATTATATCTTAACTACTTTTGGCAATCAATTTAAGAGTTTAAAAAAAAAGCTATAATTTATTTGTAAGTATCTTTTTATTATTATTGCTCGATCAGAAACTTTATTAATAATAAAAGATGAAATAACATATGGAAAAGATTCACTATGTCAAATTAAGCTAATACTAAACTACTGTTCAGCTATAATAAATACAGTATATCTTTAAACTCTAGGGTTTCTTTTGTGAAATTTTCATAGCTATGATGAGAATCGACTAGAAAATATAATAATTTTTGAAAGAGAGTTTGAAACGTAAACCAGATCCTTGCATTGCAAATACAGCTGTGGAGCCAAATACTTGAGGACATAAAGTTCTTGCACTGCAAATACAGGCGTAGAGCCTGAAAACTGACAAAAAAGGTCCTTGCACTGCTATTGCAGTCTTAGAGCCAAATATGTCCTTTAACTGTTGGGCAGCTGTAGAATCCTTGTACCAACTTACCTATCTTTTAAAGGTCTTAAGTCTTTAAATTATAATTATAAGGTTCTTGCACTGCTTTTGCAGCCATGGAGCCTGTTAGTTTAAGTCCTTGTATTGTCTCTGTAACCTCAGAGCTCTCTTTATAGTATCTTGAATCAGGTAGGTTGGGAGAGTGACGAAGCTAGCCTAACTACTAGACGAGCGATAGTGAACTGAAAGGTAAAAATATCTATCCAAAGAATTATTATTTAAATACATCATCTCTTAACTGATTATTAATGCTCCCTAACCTACGCCATGATTCCTATACAAAACTCTCTAATATTCTTTAGCTTATAATCGTAATTACTATACTATTTAATCTCAATTAATAAACAAACAAATTCATAATATTCATATGTTATCTCAGTATTACTCCTAAAAATACTTAGATTCAAACAGGATACGAGTTCTAGCCTAGAACTTTTTCACGTACCAAGTTATTCTATAAAAGGATAAACATGAACTTACATATGATCTATATGTCATCTGATCTTGCAATAATAATCGCTTCGTCACTTCATTAACAAGCTTTTCAATATGCGATTCATAATTGAAAATTTCTACTGTAACATTACACAATTTCACATCTTAAATTTGAGATTATCTAAAAAAAAGTTCAATATTTACCTTATACAAATAAATTAAGAATACGTATAAAACAATTAATATTATATAATAAATCACGATACTTTATTATATTTACAAATCTATGTTTCTAGTTTTGCATAACAGCAAGTTGCAAACTATATTACAGTATTACTACATATACACAGATCCATATTATTTCACTGATAATAATTTACCAAAAATATAAAACTGGCTAAACCCTAACCCTAAATCAGACTAAAATTTCAGTGAAATAACAGTCAGTAAAATGAGCATTGATGAAATAAGTGCTACTCTGTATATACTAGATCTTGAATTTTGATTAGTAAATATTGATTCAGAGCAATGAAACTCACATGATTTGTGATTATAAAAAGGTAAATTACTATATACATTTAATATTTGGTTATAGAAAAATATGTGATAGTGATTACTGTATATAAACATTGTTATTATAAAGAGGGAATTTGATATCTAAAAAGTTAGGGATATAAATTAGTGTGACTTTATAGAGGTTGTGATTATAAAGAAGGTGATTATAAAGAGGTATGACTGTATTGCATCTTTGATAATATTATTTAATATATATATTGGTGCTATCATACTTTAATTAGCAAGTCCTACAAAGTTTGCTTCTTTTAATATGTGTTTTTCGACGAATACTATACTTAGCCTTTTTTGAATAATTCTCACTACTAATTTTCTGAATGTTTCTAGTAGCATTATAGGTTGGATACTAGTAAGATTAAATTCCCAGTTCATACTTTTTAGAATTAGATAAATTTGTTCTAATTTTCATTTTTTGGAAAAATATTCTTTGCCTATTATTCTATTTGCAAAAGCTATAAAATGTTTTGTCATTTCTAGGCTTACTTTTTTCAAAAGTCTGTACTCAATTCCTGATATTCTCAGAGCAGTATTTTCTTTAAGCATGCTTGTAACTTTTACCTATTTATTTAGTGTTATATCTTTCATAATCTCTGTATACTATTCTTCTTTAATTTTTTTCTGTTCTTCATAGATTCTAGCTCAGTCTTGATCTATTTGTTCAAACTGCTATTTTCTTCTTCTGAATTGTTCTTTAAAGTGTCTCACTACCTCTCTTTTAATTTCATTACTTTCAGTAACTAATTCTTGGTTCTCAATTTTATCTTTACTCTGCACTAGGACTCTATCTATAACTATTTTATTACATAGTTGGTCAAGTAGTTTGTTTAGCATCTATTTTTTGTTGTTTGTTATTAGTACAAATCTTTAATTCTTTGCTTAATCTCTTTTTCTTTTTCAGTTTGTGCTTATCTTTGTGCTCTGTCTTTTAAAATATTATACTATTCCTTTATTTCATTATACCAATTTATATTCTACCTGTCTGGTAATGGAGAGATGTTAACTCTATATTCCAAATTTAAGTGCTCTATTCTTGCGTCTAAAACTAGTCTCTCTATATTTTCAATCACTTGTTCTATATTTTCCTTACCTTTTCTATAAATCCTTCTAAGTACTTTGATATGACTAAACATTATAGACTTTGTGTATTCTTTTCTAAGTTGCCTTTTGGAATTCTGTGTTTTGACAGAAGAAATATATTTGTTTGCTGCTGCTTGTATTGCTTTAGCTATTAGATTCCATTCTTCATCAATATCTATCTCTCCTCCTCTTCTTTTTTTTTCTTTTCTTTTGGTCACATTTTTTAGGATTCTTTCAACTTCTTGGCTGTATTCTTCCTAGTTTTCTCTTGTAGCCTTGTGGTATTGATATATTCTTCTTGTATCTTTTTGTCCTTTCTTATTTCTTTGTTTATTCTTTTCAAAAGTACTTGATTTATCTAGTTAGCATCATATCATTCCATGATCACTATTTGTGATCATTTCCATTTCTTCTATATTACTGTTCAGTATGAATATTTTCAACTCTTGTGTTGTCCAAATATAGTCTATTCTGGTCGAGATTTTACTATTCGACTATGAATATTTAATAAGCTCTGGGTTGCAGTAGCGAAAGACTTCGATATGATCAGTATTTTTAAGCTATTTAATAATTCTTCTGCTACTATCTATACTTCTTTTTCCCTTACTACTCATATCTAGTCTTTCATTTAGTACTGTATTGAAATCTCCTAGGATCATGTAGTATATATTTTTCTTATTTCTAATAATCTCTTCTATTGATAATTATATGTGAACTTAATCCGTACATCACTTGTACCAAATTTAACCAAAAAATTTTTTTACAAAAACCAAATTTCTTCAACTTTTT